CGTACAAGAAATCAGAGACAGTACTTGCTGTTGTATTAATCTATAAAATCGTTTTTGGAAGTTGCTTAATCAAATTCGTAATCGTTGATGAATATTAAGAGGATGGCGACTGACGTTTCTAATATGGAGTGTCTTACCTGAGGCGAAATTCAAGTTTCTACTTGCCCTACTGCGCTCCAGGAAGTCACCATGTCGCAGCGGTCAGACATCCTGTGAAGTTCCTGTGAAGTGCTGTGCCGCACATGCTTATGCGATTTCGGATTTCGCCTAAGCAATTCTAATGTCGCGACAATGGTAACGTGCTGCTATGCGACCTACCTGCCCTTTCTATTGATTCAGCATAACTCAGCATGACTTCCTTCTCAATTTATCATGATTAGGTCTTCAAACCTACCGCATTAAAGATTCGGTAAACCACAGTCTGTTTCTTTCAGAAGAAAGTCGTTTCAGAGAATATCATTTCATGATGAATCTGAATCTGATTTGCTTATTCATGTTTGACATATTATTCGCTTGAAAAATATTTTCTGGAACAAGTCAAAAATCACTTGAATCCAACCATCGAGCAAAGTCGCTTCCTAACGAAACAATAAATTCTCTTTCTTTGCTCGTTTTTTTTTATTAACAATGTGACTAAATTTTAAACAAATATTGCATAATATGATATGCGAGGACATATTTTAATAATAATATTTTATTCGGATCACGAAAAAGTTCGCTTGTTCTTTCGTGGCTTTGATTTCATCATGGAAAGCTCAGCTCAGAAGTGATCGTTACGACACTATATTTCCTCAGAGGTCCTGTCCCGGAGCTCGAATAACTTACGCATCGATCGGTAAATTTTGCATAATTACCCCGTGATTTGCCAGTGACTTCGATAATTGCCACTAGCAGCGATGGAGGTCGAGCGAGAAGCTCCTTGAGCGTTATCGATAAATCACGACTCAGGATGTATCCAGTCCGTATAAAGTTCCTCTCGTATCGAAGCACCGTTAGAAATGTTCCGTTTATCCGATTGGTCGACACGACGTGGCTTCCTCTCCTCCAGGCCCCGTAGTCTCGCGACCTTGAGTCTAGGAAACGTTCGCATACCGCCCTCTTCGAGTTCTGCTCTTCGCTCCTTCTCTCATCTATTTCTGAAGTCTCGAATTAGATTCGTCTAAAGTGGCCGCGACTTCCGCCAACGTCACATCGTGGAATGCTACTTACCTCCACTGACGAACTGGTTACGAAATGACGAACGAGATGAGAAAGATAAATGATGTCGCGCTTCTTCCCAAATCCCAAATAAACTTAAAGCGAAATAAGCTCGCTCTGTTTAAGCTATTGAGTAAGTCCTTCCAACTATTGTTTCAGCAGTGCTCTTAATTATGTAGCAGATCGAATAATTCGTATTTGCTCGAATTTAGAAACTGACTATTTAACAATTCTCGCAAGCTTCAATATCTCAGCTGTTGATTTTATTAGAAGTTAAATTATTAGAAGTTAAATAGATTTTTATTAGAAACTATTCTTTGTGTTATGTATAATTTTCCATCGCATTAATTTTCATTCATTTATAAAAGTATAAGAAAATAAAAAAAAGTTATAAAGAAAAATGTTCTTCAATTAGACGAAAATCGACTATTCGACTATTTTAGAACTGAGAATGAAGGAGTATGGAATACTTTTAGGAGAAACTCGACTACCGCTAATTTTGAGAACGAAAGGCAACGATCACCGTTTGGTTTCTGTCATTGAACTTTGCTAATGTCTTGTCCTTGTATTATTTAAAATTTGTCACTTTCTTTCTTTCGTTTATATCTTGACAGTATATGTGCGAGATAATGTCGTTTTGGACATGTTAAATTGAAAGTAATAAGTTTGGCAAAAACGGCAGTCGCTAATCCATGTGCAGATCTCGCAAATTGTTTGAGATCATTTTCGAAATAGCATGTGAATTATAGTGTGATAAAATGTGTGAAGTAAGCAATTAGCATTTTCGGTTGCGACATCCTTGATTATGTAATGATCACCGATCAATAAACGATATTTTTTGAATGTGAATAAGTTATTTCGAAATATTTTGAAAGATCAAAAATTATTATCTTGAATTATATTGAATAAAATATTATTAACTTGAGATCTTTATTTAAAAAAGAGGAAAGAAGGATCCTTGAAAATTTTCTACAATTAATTATGTTTATTATTATTCAATACATATTTTTATTTCTTCGTATTTATATTTATATAACAAATTATTACTTCTTTTTAAGAATTATTACATTAATAATAAATGAAAATCGAAACATACGATTTGTTTTAATTCATTTTTATTGGTAAATTAATTTATTGTTAAATAAATGATTTATTAATCGAAGATCTTCATTTTTCGAATGGTTTTTTGATCGTTTATTCATTGAGATGCTACATTCGTTTTTTTCATTGAACATAAAACAATTCATCCGACATATGTTTGATGAATGAAGGATAATGAAGGTTAGGAACGTAGCCATTCAAGACATATCAAGATATCGATTGTAAACTAGAATTTTGAAAACCTGTTCCATCGAGCGCATCACATCTGACAGAATACCAGGCACGCTGGTTACTATTAAAATTGACAGATTTTATTTTCAACGACATCGACCCGATGCTTTGTGATTTGCATTTGTAAGAAATTTAGTTGGCATTTTATCGAATTGACCGATATTTAACATCTTAATTTAACTACCGTAATTTAAGTGCCGTAAATTTTATTGTTTATGCACGGTAAAAATAGTCGTTCTCCGAGCGATTTAAATGCATTCATATGATTGCCACCTGCGGCTTCAAATGACTTGCGTCATTAACAAGATAATGTTGATAAGGCTATTTTTCTCAAGTCACAAAATTGGCCGACATTGTATTTCTGAGCGATAAGAACTCATGTAATTGATTCAATTAGTAATTCAATTGGATGTAAAAAATTCCATTATGCGCATTACGTAATTTAAAAAACTCAACAGAATCTTAATTTGATTGCGAGTGAGACAAAGTCTGTTAACACTGTGTCTGACTTCGTTTCTATTTCGAGTACGTGTTCTACACGAATTCTATCCTTCCTTCGCTTTGTTTCTACGTCTTCATCATTATGTAAGCGAATCACGAAATATCGATGAAACTTCGTTTGGTAACTGTACGATTAACGAAGTGGAAAAGTGATTGAAGACTCTATTGACTCTCCAGGCACGTACTTTATACATATCGGATTCTTCTTGAATTAAGGAAGGCGGATGTAACGATGCGAAAAGTACAAGTTATATCCACAAATATATAAATGTTTCGATAAAGGAGAAAATATTAATTGATTATTATTTACATTAAAATGATAAAGACAGAAAACGTGCGAAGTATTGTTATTACTTTATTTTGTCTTTAATGTTATATAAAATGATGAACATTTTTTTTATTTCTTGAGATTTTATTAACGACAGCAGTTATAACTCAATTGTAATTAAATACTTTATTATTATTAACAAAAATAGCAAAAGTAACATTTTATTTTTCTCTTTTAGTTTTAGTTATTTTATTTTTATTTTTTCTTTACTTATTTCTACCGCAAAATATACTTATTATTGATTGGTGGCGAATTTGTAAATTTTTGTAAATTATGCATCACTTGTTAATACGTCGTCAATCTAGTGTCTCTAAAATCTCTAAAATCTTTTGGTTCTTACATTTGACATCTTCAAGGGGATTCTTGATGAATTCGAGTAGTAGCTGTTCAATTGGTAGCCGGTCATTGTTCCTGAGAAGTTTGCCGATACTTCGCGCGCTATACTTTTCTTCGACGTTTCATCGTTGTAAGAGCGATGTACGAGGTTTCTGATCGAGCTCATTCACGCTGGCGAGCGAAGTGGAACGAAGGTTAGACACTTGCCTCAATCTTTGTTGGTTGCGGGATTTAAGTGTGTTTCAGCAGCGACATAGATTTAGCGCGTTCCAGAAGGAACGTCGATTCTTTGGTATAATAAATACATCGTTTGTAATTCGCATTCTAGTTGCAGATGGAAAATTTTTTTGGCGTTTGATTCGAAGTATGCGATGTGTCACTTTAAAGCACCGCTTGAGAAACAGTATTAATTAAAGATTATTTATGAATGGAGAAAACAAGTTTTAAAAATCATATTGAGAGAGAGAAGGATCAATGAAGAAGGAAGATATCCGAGTGGCTCTTATAGAGTTCTCTTGAATTATTTTAAATAATTTTAATTAAAAATGCAAGAGAAGTGGAAATATAAAATTCAAAAAAATGAAGATCTGATCTTTTTTTATATCTTTATTCATGTCTGATCTTGGATTAATGAACATTACATACTTGCTGTATTGAACATCACATTGTTTATTTATTTAGTTTGCTTGTAAATATAAATTTGACAAATATCTAAACGAAGAAATGCTGACAGTAGTTCTTGAATTTGAAGAATTATTAAGATAATCACCGACAATTAATTTTATTAACTTTAGAGCTATATATTTTATTAAATTTTAATGAAAGAAAGAAAAAGAAAGAAGATGTAACATACGGTTTGTATTTATATGTGTTTATGAAAGAGAGAGAAAGGAAAAAAGAAAGCGAGAGAAAGAGAGATTGTGAGAAAGACTTTTCTTGGCTTTAAAAAAAAAATGACACGATTATATTTATTCGTTAATTAATTAATTTTTGTAGCAACAACGGTGGTAAAAATTTTATACCGATTGACTCGATAAATATTTCGCTTTTCGACTTTTATGTGTGTACGAATCGAGCGTGGTTTCATGCTGGCGACTCTGCTGGATATAGCCTTCGTGCCTGTATTATTTGTCGCATTTAACCGGCTGCAAGCCACACAGGCGGTATAATTAACGGAATCATTTGATCTCGTATTATTTCTATTCATCCATTATTTATCATTCTTTACTTATTACTTTTGCGGCCGCGTCCCGCCGGTCTCTCGTTATTTTACTTTTAATTACGGCGATTCTCTCCCGGTCCGCAGGTGTACAAAGGCCTGGACATCGTTACCGCGAAGGTAACCCCAGCGGAAAGACAGGCGGCGCCGCATCATATGCTTGACGTCATGGATCCGCTGACCAACTTCTCCGTAATCGACTTCAGGGACATGGTCCTACCGATCGTAATCGTCACATCTTGTTCTCTTTTTACGCTAGCTTACGGAGATGGCCGGCGTTTAACGCCACGGCAATAAGGATGATCGTTACAATCTCTTAAAGCTTCACAGATTAACTTAGTAGATACCTGAAACTTGAACTTTATATTCGTATATCATTTATTTTACAAACTAGCGGGAAATCTTATAATTTGCAATAATAACGATCACCGTAATAAGTTACACAAATGAATAATGCAATTGGCACGATTTATTTTTGCATCGGGTTTTTGCATCTAATCTAATCAACAGTTACATCATAACATATTAATTATAACGTTTCTCTGAAAATTATGATAATGTTGAAAGACCTTGTAGACCGAAGATGATAAAATAATCAGATAAAATAATCAGGTCGGCAAGTCATCCTTCTTAGAGCGTGTTAATGAAAAACGCACAAAGAATGCTTAATGAATCAGAGATGTCGAAAGTGATACCTGTTTTCTTCCTTTCTTTCGGTCGGCCGGCCGGCGCAGGAGTTATTGTTGTGTGCGTGTGCGTGTGTCAAGGTTTATAATTACACTTCGGCTGGGTCTTTCGCGTGCGGTGAAACCATCGCGACGGATTCACAGCTCGGTTCGCGAAATCGACTTCGTAAAATAAAGATCTTGAACGAAGCCAATCGGAACGCCCCTGATCCTTGCGAAGACCTTGATACGATCATTAGCCACGGTCTCCCGCGCGGATCGCTCGGTCCTGTTTCCCGTCTACGCTCTATTCCGACTGTTCCTTTTCCTATTCGATGTAGATAGACAACCTGCTGGCCAGGAGGAAACTGCCGATCGTCGTCGGTGGTACAAACTATTACATAGAATCTCTGCTATGGGAGATCCTTATAACTGATCCAAAAGAACCGTCGGTGCAAGTCGATTCAACCGCGACCAATCCGAGCGCGTCGATCAAGAAGAGATCGGACGATCGATATAACGTACAAGTCGATCGATTGAACGATGGCGACGATGACGATGATGAGACGGCGCCGAAGAAGTTGAAATTCGACGCGAGATTATGCGACAGCAGCAACGAGGAGCTTCATCGAAGACTGATGGAGATCGATCCGGAGATGGCGTGCAAATTGCATCCCAACAACAGGCGAAAAGTCATAAGGTAGGACATGCAATTTGTGATCATTGATACACAATGCTGATTGTCATTGTTTAAACGAAAAATATAGGCTTGATCTAAATTACTCTATATATATATATCTCTATATATATATAAAAGTATGTCTATATATATATATATATATATATATATATATATAGACATACTTTTGATCACGTTACGTATAAAATTATTTAGCGCGCGACATCTAGCAAAGTTAAATTGCATTTTGCAAATGCAATCTGAAATTTTTATCAATCTTTTAAAACCGGCATTCACTTCGAATTTATAACTAATAAATATTTAAAGCGGAATATCAATGAATATCTTAAATGGAATCGATTATGAGTTTATATCGTGTATATATAAAATGCTACTTTCGAACGATAAATATTATTTATCGTTTCATGTAGTCTAAACGCAATTTCGCCCGCATCTGCGAACAGTTAATTACGATTAGTGTTTTATTGAAACGCACCATGCGGCCAACTTCGTCAGTGCGACAGTTATTTGATATCCGACAATCATTGTAATGCCACTTGTCGCATTATGTTTAATATTAAAAGAAACTGGCATTAATCAAGTGGTCGGTATCCCTGGCATGTAATAGGTGTTAATTTAATTCGTTGAATTCATTAGCATTTTCCACTCGGTTGTCGTGCAAATAAGTCTCAAGGCGACGATCGTAAACTCTCGAAAACGTTTTGAACTTATGAAATCCTGCTTTCTCGCTGCTGGCTGATAAAATTTTGACCTACTTTTGTTGACAATTTTATTAGTTCGTGCCAGCTTTTGCCTGATATATACATTCATTACATCTCGTTGCAATAATATAAATTGAGTCCATTGTTACCTAAAAGAGACATATTGTTAAAGGAAAAATATTTCACGGAAAAATTCTTGTTTCGAAATCTGTCTTTTTTATAAAAATTATTACTAAAATTTACATTCGCGACTAAATTAAATATAAATAAATAATTACTAAGTAATTAAATATAAATAAATAATTACTAAGTAATTATTGATTTTTTATGTTCTTGCGCCAAACGCAATATTTGAATCGTTGAATTTTAGTCGCGAATGTAAATTTTCAGAACTATCGAATTTTCTTCGCATTGAATAATATGATGAGTCATGGAAATTTTCTAAGATGTTACAATCCATGATATTTTGAAATTCTGTTTTAAAATGAATCGATAAAAATTTGGAGAATAAGAGATAACGAAGAGTTAACAGCTGAATTGACCTTGCTTTAATAGCTGGCGCGTCGAATGACTAATATTTAAGTTTTCTCTCACTAATAAGTAAGCGCTTTCTATTCAAGGCTTTAATGCGGCACTTGTATGTAATTTGCTTGACATTATCCGAATCAAATATCCTTCGAGGGAACGCTTCGATCGATAAAATTCTATTCTACTTCCAGCAATATTCTTGTATCGAATTGTCTTGAAATAGACTAGATTGAAAAAATGGCCTTGATATATATAAGCAAAGGCTGTGAACTGGCTTACCACGCGCTATTGTTCTCGTAATTGAATAATTAATTAGATGGCTGATACGCAATGATGTTGCAGATAATTTGAGTTTTGCAATTCGCGAGCACGCGTGCAAACTCTATGTTAATATGTTGATGAACATGTTTAAAAATTTCATAGTATTTAAAGTATAGTATTTATATTTTTCATATATCGTTTCTTGTATAAAAATTGACTCGTAGAATTTGAAAGGATATTCTGAAAAAATATTCTAAACATTCATTAAAAATAAATTGTTTCGATAAAATTTTCATATCGATAACGATAATCAAAATGTGCTTTGGAATTATTTTAAAAAAGATCTAAAGAATGTAAGAAATGTCAAACGAGAGATGCAGCGATATCCGATTATGCATGATAAAAATTAAAATTTCAATTATGCAGAGATAATTTACGAAGTTACAATGTTTTTAATTATCAACGTGCTGCTTCGATAAATCGCGATTGAGCGATAATCAGTCAACCTATTTTGAATAATTTTTATCACATTTATCTCTCTCTCTCTCTCTCTCACTCTCAGCATAGTTCCGATTGTAACCACAGAAATTTTTATTTCCGTTTATGTATGCAATCAGATAATGTCAATCATAGAAATATAGCAGGTAATGTATCAAATTGTTTCGACTTCGGCATTCCATTCATTGCAAGCAGCTGAGGATGTTATCTTGCTTAAGCAATCGACAGATATCACGCTTTCGTAAAATGTAAACGTATCTTGACTATAATCGTAGGTCAGTAGATAGTTATTTGTGAAATCTTCACGCTTATCATTGGCAATATAACATATAGATCGTTTGCCAAAGAGAGAAAATATCCAGATCAAAAAAGTAGCGAATTTTATACGTTACCTACTAATTTAATAAGATTAGCTAGTTATATATTTCATCTTCAAAAAGAATTAAATGATAAAAAAAGAATTAAACATATAATATTTAAAAAGATGTCGATCAGAATTTTTTTATTTCATTTAAGATAATGATATAATTGAATATTATAATCTTTTTAATTTATCTTTTTAATTTATTTCTGAAATTTTCGTTTCTTATAGCTTTTTAAATGCATGTCTGAGATTTATTTAGTTTTAATATTTTATTAAATTTAGATTTAAAATTCGTAAAATCTATCGTAAAATTGTCATAAAATTATAACTTAATCACAGTATAAAATTTATATGAATATATTAAAAGTATAATTATAAATATGATTTAATATGCCAAATTTATTTGATTTGAATTGTATCTATATTATAATTATATTTCGATCACGTTTTTTTTTTTTTTTTTTCGAGGCGCACATGAATTCGATGTGCGCGGAAAGAAAGAATCCCGATTCTCGCCGGAATTCCACCTGTTACTTCGCCGGTGTTTTTCGCAGACTCGCGAACGCGTATAAAGCCACGTTCACAGTTTACGATTACAGCGATACAACGCGTGGTGAATATCTGAATCTTCATAAACTGGACCTTTACGCAATTGTCATTAATCAAGCGAGAAATCCTTCTTTCGTGTCAAACACATCACGGATAATTGAAATTACTTCGTGTATTCACTGTTTGTGATTAATTATGATTAACGGTTTATTGTGTATCATGCCGTGACTAACATCATCAATGAACATCGAGGCGACAGAATGATGCATTTTCCCGTCCTTCTGACCCGACTTTTGCTTCTGTAAGATTTGCGTGTCCAGCCCACGCGGGTCGTTTACAATCGGCGAGTTTCCTCGGCATAAATGCGACATGCCGATGGCCAAGACGACCGACAATGGCCAATTAGGGCAGGGTAGAGCAGAGCAGAGCAGAGCAGAGCAGAGCAGAGCAGAGCAGAGCAGAGCAAAGCAAAGTAAAGCAAGCATGTCTTTTGGACAACTGTTACGCTTTCACAATATGGCTACCGACGGCAGCTGCGTCTCGGAGCACCTTTTCCTTCGCGATGGCTATCCCGCGCACTTTCATCTTATACGTGAAAAGACGTCGAACCCTATAGAATATTTTAGGATTGGGTTAGGCTAGGTTGAGTTAGGTCGTGTGTCGCCAGCTGTCGTATCTTTTTTTATCCTGTTATTTCGCTTACAGGCACATCAAGTTGTGTTTACTCGCTGCGCTTCGGAAGCATCGGTCAAACGACTATTCAATTAGCCTTCCGGTTATTTCTTGGCGTGACTAACCATGTCATACAATAATAGGATGTTATTAGATAATACAATTTTCTTAGGGTCTATCAGTAATGATAGACTCTATCATCTGTAATGATAATCTTCCCTCTTCTGAAAACTTTTTTGTGTCTTAATGTTTTTTTTTGTGTTTAATGTGAAAATATTTGCAAATATTTTCCATTATATTTTTGAGACTTCTAATCGACGATGTATTTTTCTAAGTATTCTTGAGATAAAATTTCTCGAAATCAGGGGAATCTCATTCGCGCTCACGCTGTGATGATTTAAACCGTGTCGGATTGAAATATCACGCATACGCGTGTCATCGTACTCCTCGTGCTTGGCACGCAATGTCGATAAAACGTGATGGATGCCCTTCCCTTCAGCACGACGAGGAGAACACCGAGCCACACTGTTTTCGTTCTTTTCTTCGACTTCTGCGACAAGACAATATTGTCGCAGACTATTGTTCTCACTGTCATGTGTCGCGCGTATTTGCGTGTAAACATTCGTGAACCACGTGGAACGACTTGAGCGATGTGAGCTACGATTACTTGTTTTCCTATTCCTAAGTTACAATTTTCTTCGTGTTTTTGAAATTGGCACGAAATGTTATTAATTTTTACAAAATATCTCCCGTAGCGTTTTTCATAGTTTCTACAATTTCTGATAAACATTTAACAAGTTTCCACATTTTTTTAACATGTGAAAAATAAAAAATTAAAAATGTCGTGCTAACTTCACATTTCAACACGACATTCCTCCTCTAAAATCTGGGGCAATTGAATTGTGACATCTAAAGTTTCCCTTAATTCTAGATTAATTCCATATTTATATAGCATTTCAGGACTTCAAATTTCAAAAATTAATTTCAAATTTGGTATACAGCTGCGAATATTCGTAACAGCATGACATTCGGCGGAAACGTGTCGTGCTGATTATTTATTACAGTTCTAGCGACAATTCTCATTAGTTCTAACACAATTTTATACTCTACAATCATTTTTAAGCAAAATTTCGGCGCTTACATATTTTTCAAGAATTTTTCAGAATTCAATTTTTGAAGGAAGGAAAACGCAAATTTCGTTCTTCTAGTTACATATAGTTGTCCAGTTTCCTATCGCAGTTGGAAAACTGAATCGACTAAAGGGTTAACAAGCGCAATTCGTAGACTGATATAGAACATTTCTAACATTGTATCTAAGCGTTTGGTTAGTGCGCTGTTCTCCCGAGTTCTCTCACTTAAATTCATCACTTTCCACAAAGTATCGATAACGGTACCCTTCTGTTTGTAACATAGAAAGCATTTCAATG